AGAGTGGACATCTTCCACAGTCAGAATTAATATGCATGATTCTAACTTTGCTTGTTACACTATCATTATGCCTAATTACAGCTTTAATTGTTAAAAGCCTTACTTAATCAGGCAGATGAAACCCTAATTCTACTCTGAAACTCAGTCAAAAGGCTATTTAACTCTTCTGAAGGAAAATCACTTGGATTTTTCTGGGTTGTGCTTTGGTTTGTGCTTTTTTCTTTATTTTTTTTTTTCTTCTGTCTGATGATTGAGAAGAATGTTACTTTGAATAAAGATGTACCTTGATGTTGGCAACCTCTCTACTTCCCATACGTTTACATCAACATAACTGATTTTTGCAGTATTAGGTTTTAATAGATACAGTTAATTTCATAACTGCACTTACTGAAGTTAGTTGTACAGTAGATACTTGGAGCAGTGTAAAACGTAAATTTTGGAGGAATAAATATCTTCTAAGGTTACATATTATTGCTGTTTTAAATACTCTGTGGTGTGTTTGTTTTTGTTACCACTTTCGGCTCATTAACAGTAGTAGTTATACAGCCAGATCATATTTTGGTAGAAATTCAGCCAGGAACAGTTGACTTCTGCAGCAGTATTTTGTAACTAACCTGCTCCTGAGAATAACACACCACCAGGATGATACTAGAGTATGTGTTTCTAAGTAGCATGGTGCCCTGCACCGCAAGCAGGAATTCAAGCAGAGTTTCCCTTGAGCTTGCTTACAGCAGAGTTTTTCAGGGATGGTGGTGGTTGCTGAAGATCTCCTTTTCACGCTGGTTCTTTCAGAAGAGGCTATTCTGAAGCAGGGAGGTCATATTTTTTTTTTGCATTTGCTAATAGAAATGAGAGATCTGTTCAGAGCAAACCTAGTAGGTAGATGTAGTATCTTTTATAGGAGAAATTGATTTATTTGAAAAATTCAGGCAAGATACTGTGTGCTCAAACTCTTCTTCAGGTAAGCAGATATTCTTGGGGGATGAGGAAGCTGCCAGTTTTAGAGAAAAACGGACCCTAGTGCTGAAGGCTTCGGTATTTCCCATGTGCTACCGGGTGCAGGGTATTGCAGTTGGCTTGGAAAGCTGCTGCTTCTACTTCAGGTCCAAAGAAACACTCTTTTCTTGAAATGCTCTCTGTTGTTTCAGGCTATTCCAGTTAGTCCAGTGAAAGGTTATTCCTTCTACCTAGACATGGTCTTAGCTGTTCTGTAGATAATACCATTATATCTATTGGCAGCTGTGGTGTCTAATGCACATTCTTTTGGACTTGTAATTTGTACATAATTTGTTAGAGAACAGCAAATGGTAAGTTTATGGCCTGTTGGGTAATTTTGGATGTGTTAACCTGCACTGGGATGGAAATTAGAACACTACTTAACATTTTTGTAACTGTTGAGAAAAAGTTGATTCATAATACAATTATTTTAATACATTTCTTAGACATAGATGTCTAGTGTGAGTGCCTGAGATTTGCAGCTAAAGTGAAACTATTTTTTGTGAGTGAAATGGAGAAACTGCTTCACTTGATGGCATTAGCCAACTCGATAGCAGCCACTGCAGTTCAGTGCTTTGGCCATTACTACAGGGTCTATGTTCTTCCCAACTTTGCAGTGGGTTGTCACATGAAAATTGCTTTTAAATGTTAGAAAATACATAGCCTAAATAAACATCATCTCAAAGTTTACTTATTTTTTTCAAATCAAACAAGTTTATAGTTATCTTATCCCGGGCTTTTCTTTTAGGCATGTAGTAGCATCAGATAAGTATGAAGACTTTTCCTCAGATGTGTGATCCCATTTTTGAAAGTATCTAGTACATCTTTACCCTAGAAAAATTTTAGGTCATTTCATTCTACTGTTAATTTGTGAATAACTGAAAGAAAGTTGGCCAGATAAAAATATTTGACCAGACTTTGATAAACCAAAGTGATGCAAAAATCGAATGAGTGTCCTCTCTCTGATTGACATTGATACCTAAGGAAAGGTGTAAGAGCAGGACAAAAAGGTTATGATACTTAATGTTGATACTTCCTATTCTCCAGCCATTTGCACTTTACAACATTCCTGAGCCAAATGTGATTTTAAGTGCTCCATACATTTCTCCATTGTCTTTTGTACTACAGTAAAATAGTCCTGTTGAATACCCTGTATTGATCTAAATAGAGATTTGCCAGGAGTTTCACTGCTTTAACTATGTGAAGTTTTGTGTGCGTGTGTGCTGCTCAACCTTCTTTTAATTCTTTTATTTGTTACCAAATACTACTACTATTTTTTTAAAGAAAATTAACTAAGGAATTGGGAAGTGGAATTTTCTGAAATACCCAGCATTAGTTAAAATTTCCACACATTTGTATTGTACATGTGATGGTATTTTTCTTCTCTAATGCTGCAATCAAAGAATAAGTCATGTACATAACTCGAAGTATGTTTTGGAGGTGTAGTAAGTTTACTGCTTTTTTTTTTCTTTTTAGTGAAATACATGCTATACCTTTCTTCCTCTCCCTCTGCATCTTTGTGCCTCTTCTCTCTGGAGGGTGCTTAGTAGGGAAGACAGCGATGTGAATGCACGCATGCTCAATGCAGTTATATTCCTGAAACTAGAAAATAAATTGATAGGCTTGCACAGTGCACTATGAGAAGGTTTGTGCTGGTAGGACTAGAGAAAGGTTTAGGGGAAGCAAGTAGACGTATTCTCAGATGCAGTAAAGAAATAATGGAAGGAATGCATTCGTTCTGTGTTCTCCTTGTGAGAAGAGATGGGCATCAGGCAGAGAAATTCAAAGCCTCAGACTTCTGCAACAGCAGAGATCACGGTTTGTCAACCCAACACGTGTGGATATCTTAAGGGTAAATGGTGGCTGAATACAGATACGGCATGTTTTAAGGAAACCTGAATTTTAGCAAAAACTGTTAGCAGTCAAGATGAACATTAAAATCTTCAGCCATTGTGATTTTTTTTTTTCTGCCTCGCTGTTCCAAACTATGAAAATATAAATGTAACTGCCATAGAAATTAGGGCTGACAGATGTTTATTTTTGAGGGAGTATTGCT